ATTGGCGGGGCGGGCTGGCCCGTTTTGCCACCCATAATAGCGAGTGAAGAAGGTGTTATTATTATTATTATTATTATTTATTTTTTAATTTAGAAATTTAAATAAATTATTATAATAGTTAACTAATTTAAATAACAACAATAAAGTAAAATGTGTTTTGATCTTAAAAAATTTGGTTAAACCTATTTTTACTTTCTACATTTTTTTAAAAAGGAAATGTTAAAATTTATTTAGTATTTTCTATTTTGAATAAGTCAAGTCCTATTTATTTGGGATTTGATGTAGACTACATTTTAGGAATCCTAGATTTTTCTAGTCTTATCCAATAGTTGTAGATAAGTTAATTGTCATTTTATTTTCCAAGTTTAAGGAACAACAATTTCCTTTGAACTACTATATATGTAATCGGAAGATTTTAATGAATGTATCAATTTTTTCTGCATAATTCATATTTGGTATCAAGAGTCTACACTAGGCATGGGAACGGGGTGGGGCATGTACGAGTTTTATGATACTCGTTCCCGTCTCTACGGTTCAAACCCATTCCCGTCCCTGATACCTGATAGGTATGTAATTTTTGTCTTATTCTTGTCCCCATCGGATATCGAGTATACTCGTACCCGTACTTGTTAAAAATTATTTTTTTTTTTGCAAAAAAAAAATATTTTTAGCTTATCTTTTTCTTATATTGTAAAGGTAATTGAGTTGTTTGTCTATCTCATATTTTAATCAAGAGTCTTCTTAATAATTAAACAATCACAAATGTTTCAAAATCAAATCGGGGTTGGATATTAAATCGGGGATAGGGATGGGGATGGGAATCAGGTGAGTAAGTATAGACCTGTTTCTGTCCCTGTCCCTGATTTAATATTTTAAATTTTACTCGTACCCATACCCGGTCAAATCAGGTATTCTCCATCAAAGTCCGAACAAGTTTGGGTATTATTCATGAGTATGAGTTTATTTATCATCCCTAGTATATACAGGGCCTAATCCTAATCAATATTAAAGCGGTAGCTCTCTTGCAGTAGCAAGTAAGAATGACATCCAAAAATGGCAACTTTGTGTAACCCGCAATTCCTTGCTTTGATGGTCACTATGACCATTGGATGATGTTGATGGACAACTTTTGGCGATCAAAAGAGTATTGGCCATTAATTGAAGAAGGTATCACCATTTATCATGAGGGTATGATGTTGACAGTAGCTCAAGAGGAGCAATTAGACGACCAAAAATTGAAGGACTTGAAGGTGAATAACTATTTGTTCCAGGCTATTGATCATACGATCTTGGAGACCATTCTTCAGAAGGATACCAACAAGCAGATTTGGGACTCAATAAATCTTAAGTATCAAGGGACAACCAAAGTGAAGCATGTACAACTTCAAGCTCTTCAAAGAGATTTTGAGGCTCTTCATATGAATATGGGAGAGTCAGTCACTAATTATTTTGCAAGGACAATGGTGATTGCAAACAATATGTGTATCCATGGTGACAAACTAGAAGATGTCGTTGTTGTTGAAAAAATTCTTCATTCGATGACTACGAAATTTGTTTGCGGTTTGTTCGATTAAAGAAGCACGTGACATTGATAACCTTTCCATTGATGAATTGCAAAGTTCGTCGTTGGTTCATGAGTAGAGAATTAGTCAAAGGGCTACAATTTAAGTGAAAGCTTTAAAGGCATCCACCAATAGTCCAACTATTACTAACAGTGCAAGACGTGGTTAAGGAAGAGGCAGAGGTAGAGGTAGATTTAGTTCTTCTTCCAGAAGCAAAGGGTGTGGTGAAGTATTAAAGTTCAATAAATCTCACATTGAATGCTTTAACTGTCATAAATATGGCCATTACATGTCAGAATGTCCTAACTTCTTTAGAGGTTAAGGAGAAAAATTGAATTATGCTATGTGTAACGTGGTTTAAAAATTTTTTTTTGGCTGATTTAGTAGCCCGGAACGGGCCGTTCCAAGCTATTAAATTAAACTGAAATTCGTGGTTGGGAACGGGCCGTTTTGGAGGGAGAACGGGCCGTTCCAAATTCCAGAACGGGTCGTTCTAGTTGGAGAACGGGCCGTTCCGGAAGGAGAACGGGCCGTTCCGGAGGGAGAACGGGCCGTTCTGGATGAGTCCCGAAACGGGCCGTTCTGAAATCAGAACGGGCCGTTCTAGGCATGGATTTTGTGCGTGATTTGGGAGTTCGGAACGGACCGTTCTGGGGCAGTTCGAAAAATCTATAAATAGGGGTTATGCATATGCTTGTTCTTCATCTTACTTGTTCTTATATTTTTATGAAACACTAACACACTTGTTAGAGATAAAAACATGTATTATATTTGTCTCACTCAAAACCTTGTTGGGAGTTTTTTCGTCTGACTTAACAATCTCCCCCTTTTTGATGATGAGAAATATAATTAATCAAATTTGTTTCAAATAAACGTAAATCATCTAAAACTCACAATTTCTTATTTTTCCGCAAGTTCGCATATTATCAATGTCTTACAACTCTCCCCCTTAGTATATGCTCTCCCCTAACTTGATTATTTAGCAATTACTTCTATTTCTCCCCATTTGTAATCATAAAAAAGAAATAGATGAGTCGCTAGGATGAGATAAAGATGGAATAAATCAAGTTGATAACATAAAACAATAAGATATTTAGGATAATAAATTTGGGATAGAGGTGTGTATTGATTGGAATAATGAGTGTGTACAAAAAGAAAATTCAAAAAGAAGTACAATTTGTTTTGCTCTCCCTAACATTCCTATCTTTCTCAGTATGATCATTACGACGGAGGTGGATTTTTGGAAAGCTTAGATGCAATCAAATTAAACAAGTTTTAAAACTTGTTATCCAGGTCTGTTCTCAACCTGTTGAATTCTTCAACTAAGACATATTATTGTCCCAGTTCATAAGCAGAAGGGAGAACTTCCAGAGGAGCAGACATAGAGATTGGCTCAACAGAGACCTAGCCTCTTCAGGCTTTACATATTATAGACGTATAATCAGGATTGAGTGTTTAGGTTACTCTCACAGAGAGGATACATAGATTTCTACGCTCACTAAGGTTTCTCTACCTTAGTCTTTACAACGATTGAGTGGTTGGTTTACTCTCATGGAGAGGATACATAAGTTGGCACACTCACTACGGTTAGATCCTAAGATGTACATATTTGAAACTCTGTAGTTTACAGAGACGAATACATTAATGTACATTTGACTCTATACGCACTGTCTCTAGCTTCGTTGCATCATGGGCTGTATATCACTCTTTTTCTTGCTTGCACCATTTTGGGCCAAACAGCCAACCTTTTAAGGTTTGATGTTGAGACCTATATATAGTCTTGTGAAATCTGCCCACTACAAGTGTTTGTTGAAGCAGATATAGTCGTTCACGACTAGTTTGATCTTCTCGTTTAATGCTTAGATTCTTGCATTAAATGTTGCTTCTTGTGATAGACCTCGCGTGAAGTATTCTTTGTCTTAGTAGCAGTAATGTCTAAGTTTATTAGAGACCTAGGAACCTTTTTGTCCTTTTCTAGTCTCACAGCTGTGGGATTTTGTCCTTGTCTAAAAAGGTAATGTACTTTTTTTGACACATGCATGCTTTTAGTTCTATGCTTGATTTCCTCCTTTCTTCTTTCCTTCTCACAATTTTGATGACTCTGTGTGTTCTCTTGTGAGTTTGGACAACATTCAAATTGTCCTATGAAACCTGATTTCTTAGGTGGTTGCGTGACAATTTTCGTCTGCGTTTGGTAGTCTATGTGTAGCTCAAGCCTTGACCTTTGTATGAGCATTTGTCATTAACGCATTGACTTTTCCTTTCATATGGTCAACTTGTATGTGGTCAAATTTTCAAATGATCTTTGACCATTCTTCATCTGAGTCTTTATGTTTTGCTTTTAAGTTATGCTGG